TCTGTCTTACTGTGCAAGTCTTTGTGTCTGTCCTTTCAGATCATCAAGGAATATCCATACCATTATTCTCAAATCATTCTATCATTCTCCATTTTCTAATATTCCCATTCTGAGAAAGACGTAAAGGAGAGAATTCGGGGCTTGTATGGAACACCTAACAAAGCCAAACGTTAAACGCGCAAATATTATGACTTTTCTCTACTGGTTTTCGAACATTTTCAAATTTAAAAATTTTACTGTTAATTAGGAAATATTGTAAACCATGCATAATTAATTAAGATAAACGCAAAACTAGTAACCAAATAAAATGCCACATAGACGTTTCGCATATGAACAAGGAGAAAGTTGTAAACAATCAAAGATTAATCATCCTTGTAAGAATTCACGTGAACATTTTATTATGGAAAGAAGAGTTTTCTGACACTGTTAAAAGAGATAGTATATTACAGCTTTGGTCGTTCAAAAGATTATTGATGGTATCTTAGCGTACTTCAGGCTTCCAGGTGAATATGTGGAAGTTCTAAATAAGCCGATAAGACACCATCAATAAGTGCTGTTGAACAACTAAAGCTTAATGATCCGAATTAATATATTCATAGTCTGTGGATTTCTCGTATGATCGGCGCTCTACGCTTCTTAGATAGTTTATTATTACTTACAGCACTGAATGATATTGATAATTACCAATAACGGAGATAGGATTGAAAATTTTCAAAAATCCACTTATTACAATAAGGATGAAAGATCTTTCGAGAAGTGAGGTTGAATATCTTTCGTTCTATGCTATTTATATGAGAATTATAACGGATCATAACTGTTCGGATCCACAACAGGTTCTTTATCCAAAAAATCTCTGACATTTAACATCTCGGCATATCTACCATCACTTTCCTTGTCGAATTTACCTTTATTACGAGTAACTTTGTCGCTTTTTCTAGTTGACAGCTTTTTCGTTGAAAATTTCGTTTTTGATTTTGGCTTCATGTCGGCAATCCCATTATCAGTTCTTGTTTTCTGGAATAGATTTGAATATAGATCAAAAAAAGACTGAGTTACCAATTGCCTAAAAGGAAATGAAGGATCGCTCCGATAATGAACTCCCAGCAACAAAAAAATTGTTGCAAAGATGCTATGAGCGACTTAAATCGAAACATGAAAAGTTTCTAAAAAAATTCATCTTACCGTTTCATTTGTGTCTTTTCTTATACAGGGATAATCAATTCTGATAGAAGTAACAGGACGATGCTCAATCTCGTCTTCACTCTCTGGATCTGCAGGCACAGAAGCAACCAAAGGATTTGGGCCTGATTCATCTGGTTCTCTATATACTACTTCTGAAAAAAAAAGAATTTCTATAATTAATAATTCACGAATATTTTTTGTGATTTATGATTTTAAATAACAACAGCAACGCTACAGCTATGCTTGTGCTTTTTTCGCATCACAAAAAAAGAAAAAAAAAGACTCGTATCGTCCTCGATATCTTTGATATCATTGAGCCAAGCATCTAAATATTCCGGATACATTTTGTTGACAGAGACTTCTTTCTGATCGCTTCCAGTGATGCTGTTTGCTGAATTACCAGTCGGTACTTTGTATACTAAAAAAATAACCGCTAAAACGGAAAATGCAGAAACAAAACACATCAGTATTTATGATTACTATACCAATAATACCTATCGGTGTCTGTGATTCATGTCTCCATCTATCGGATGAGTGTAATCGAGAACTATCCAATTCTATCGTTCGTTTTTGTACCATGCTTTTTTTCCCAACTTCCAATTCGTTCTCAAATGGTACATCTTCTTCGTACATAGTTACCATACTGTTTGCTTCCCTCAAATAATCAAATGAATATTGATTAGAATTCTGGATGAAATGAAGGAACTTACTCATCGCTATTATCCGCACGATTCGACATAACATCATTTGTAGATGCGCTTTTGTTTATTCCCTCACTGTTATCTACTTGTAGGAAAGATGCGGTGGTAATCGAAGCAGCCGAATGATTTGTTGAATTTGCTGAAAGAGATGGAGAAAAAATATCTCCAGAAAATCGCGAATGATCTTTTCAAAAAACTAGAATTGACGTACCTGAATAATGCTTCCTGATAAACGAAGAAGATACAACATTTTGCGAATGTGTAGAGATATTGGACGATGTTCGAAGAGAAGGTTGACAGTGCGGCTCACCGGATGGTATTGGAAGTCCTTCACCAAATGGCAATCCATTCTGTGATCTCTCCGATACTGGTACAGGAGCAACTTTTTCAGCGGCAAGACGTCGACGCGTTGCTATATTTTCCATAAATCTAACATGAATGATTATAAGTATGGAAAATTTGTGGTATAGATTATGCCGTAAATTCATGCAGCCAATCTAATATTTCCTTACAGGTTTCAGGAACGAGAATTTTGTAGCACAAAAACTAAAAGGGATAAATAAAAAGAGAATTATAAGAGAAAGATAACCTATCATAGCTAGCATCTTGTGTTTCCTCATACATGTCCAGTTCATCGAAGCTTAATTCGATGTCCCGTCGATTGGTTTCTAACTGACCAATAAGTGTTTCTCGCTGTAGTAAAAAAAAATTGCAAATGTTGTGTAATTACTTTGAAATGTATCAGAGCACTGTTTTATTGCCTTCATTTTCTTTATTTAAACGAACAGATATTTAATTCTACAGCAGCTTTCATAAAAATAACCAGTAATCTACCAATATGATATTTTAGTTCAGTTAAATTAAATGATTTTTAAGTTTGAAACAACTAATTGGTTCAATTCAAATTAACTCATTTAAAATGAAAATGAATTTAGTGAAAGTGAACAAATTCTGCAATCAAATATTAAAACATCAAGAGAAATAATCAGGAGACGAAATGCATGTGATTAGCATATTACCTGCAGATACAAAAAAGGTATATTGAAGAATAGATAAAGAAAGCGCAATCCGAAAGTATTGCGCATTGAACATTGGGTAAAACGGATCTCCGAGGCTTGATTTCCATTTGGACATTCTTTTCTGTAAGTTTAAAAAGATTAATCATACTTTGCAGAAGAACAATTACATACAAATATTAAAAATATTTCGTTTATCTAATAATAATGAAAATATAAAACTTATTATCAATGAATATGCAATACTGAAATAATGACCTCTTAATTAGTCCACTAAGTAATTAATCTTAAGATTCATTTACCATTAATAATCTGTTGACATGTCGTAAGCTGCTTTATTTAACACTTGACATATATTGTTAATAATATTGTTATCATATCAATGGTATCATTACATCTCAATACATGTTAGCTACTTGATTATGGTATTTTTCAATCGATAAGTAATGGAAAGAATTAAAGATTTTGTTATCAACACCGATCGTCCTTTATGAACAGAACAGAAATTATCTTGGAAATGAAGTAAATTAGATAAGATAAGGATGATTAATAGGTTCCTTTAACCATATATATATATA